TCACGCGTAAGAGGGTTATACATGTTATAATTGAATATTAATCATCATTATAATTTAACTTTACTTACAAGTTACTATAGTTACAATTAAGCGACATCTATTTTTTTCTATTTTTGAGAACAGTCCCCAGATTTACCACTTGTAATGTATACATCAGTCTTCATTGCAAAACGGTGGAGGAAATACTTATTAGTTATTACTTATTACCTAGTGCTATAATTTATTTTAAATCAAATTTGATTAATATTTAGTACCTATAATAGCTAATAATTAAAATATATTATTAAAAGATCATGTGTCAAGCTTTTGTTGTGATGATGCCACAATAGCAGTACCTAATGAGTACTTTATTAAAACATACCTACCTATATATACGTTACATTATATAAATTCATATGCACAATTTGGAGACTGACTTGCAGGGGACTTAACACCTCTAATATTAAAATTTGCCCCTACAAAAATGTATATTATAGTTGAAGTGTAAATTAAATCCTCCATTATCTATACCTACCTACTAAACGTGGTTTGATGAAATTATTGTATGTAGTTATAAAAATGTAAAACATGTATATTGTAATTTTATTGAATTTAGTTTTTGATATTTGGTTAAAAATAAGACATATTGAAGAAATTTCGGGGGACTTCCACTCAGATACGGCCTTGATTACTCATATTATATTACCTATATAAAGAGTGATATAGGTAGGATCTGTAACAATTATAATATTATGTTATTAAATCGTCTCGTTTCCACGATAATCCCGCAGGACTCTGAGTACGTTCGGAGCAAACTGCTGGAGAACGTTATCAGCCAACTGGAAAAGGACATCGTCAAGTCAGAGATGGTCGGTGGCAAGTACGACGCGGCGGCGCGGTACGGGCCACGGATGAAGACCAACGAACGTGAACCCACAGGAGCCGACTACGATGACGCGGCCTCGAACGGCCCGAACGCGGTGCCGTCGATCCGGGACAACGAGTACGTGCAGCATGGCACGCTGTGGGGTGCGCAGTACATGAGCGGTACGTGCAACGTTCGTTTTCTCTCTATGTATATACGGTCCATTATAGCTGGCGCCTGGAGATACAGAAACATAGGATTTTAGAAGGGCGATTCACAGTATTATCTTTATAATATATGTAGGTATATATATATAATTCGCCGTGTTGGCCATTTGAACGGCTTGACTAATTTTGATGAAATCGTTGGTGAGGGGGTTGAGTGGGTCCCTGGATGGTTTAGATTCACAATATCGAACCAGGAGGGTGCTCGAGTTATCTCGAATTTTGAGATTTACGATGGATATTTTTGTTTATAAATGGTTGCTATTATTGGTTGCAGGAGAAATAATTAGTAGAAATTAGTAATGGTTGCCGCATCAGTGGCGGATCCAGAGCATGGGGAGGATAAAGGAACAAAAAGTACTAAAATTGGCTTCAAAATTAGCTAAACACAGTGTAGGACTCAGAGGCTAAAATATAATTATTTTCGTACTACACATTTTATATTAAGCTTTTAGTTACCGCGAGGGGCTTTGCCACCCCACCAAAAAAAGTGTATTGAATCTATACACATAAACATAGAGTAATCAATTTCTATTTTTCTTTATCTACTGCAGAGTATATAGACTACATCGCAAGTTAACGATTTATGTCCGTATATTGGTACGATAATTAATTCGGTATTATACATAATATTGCAATAAATGCACAGAACTATAATAATACTATACAATACCTATTATAGCCAGTGAATTGCGAAATAAAAATCCCCGATTCTAGGAAAAAACATCCCAGACTTCAATATTAGGTACTCACATAATCACATGAAATTGATTGATTAAATGTTTTTTAAAAGCTAATTAATGTAATTACCACATTGTTAATATTTAATTATAAATAAACACAAGGTCTAGGAATAGCTATCATTAAAAAAATGATTGTATTTGTATAATAAATAGTGTTCAAACATATTAACAATAACATTATTTTGTTTTTGATTTGAAACAACATAGGTAAATATGTTAATGGTTCTTTTAAAAAATATAGGTAAATACATTCAGTAACTATTGTTTGATAATTATTTGTAATTTGTATCGATTATTCGAAATATTTTTATTTTGTAATATTTTAAATATTGTAGGTATCTATAAGTAAAACTTGTAAAATCGACTCCTAATAATACGTAATAATTATTATTAATATTTAAAATTATTATCTGTCTATTCCCCAACAGTGAAACTACGTTGATTGGGGGGAGAGGGGCAAAGGGGACATTTGCCCCCCCCCCTGGTTGCCATTACCCATTAGTTACTCGGGCAGACAAGGTATACAAATCGTAACGTTTATAGTTTCGATTAAGGAAATTTATGCCTTAATAAATTGGGGAGACTTGGCAGAAATTTAGAGGGATTAAGTCCCCAACCTCCCCCCTATTTTCACTATTTAATGTATAGTTATCTATTAATTGCTGACTAGTTGTACTGGTTTAGGTAATAACACGTTAGTACCTAACTCATTAAATATCAACTCCTTTAGAAGATGAATCAAATCTGCTACTGGTAGGTACGGGTACCTACAGCATGATCAAATAAAAATTATTAAATAATTATAACAGGTAGGTATAGATGTGTTTAAAGTTTATTTCAACTCAACATTTTGTTATTTTAATCGACTGTTAAATATGGCTAAGTTATTCCGACGGTTACTAAATTACTTGAATTTTTTAAGTTATTAAGTTGATTATAAAATTAACTAGGCAACTATAGTTAAGTTAAAAAGTTTAAAAACCAAATAACTTTCTACCTTAGTACTTAATTCCCACCTTTGTCTATAGACTATAACAATATTATAATACATTGTCTTTATTCCTGGCTGCATGTTGCAGGCGGTGCCGGCGAAGGGGTGCAGACCCTGAACCCAGACAGTCCGACGAGAAACAAAAATGAAGTGAAAACCGACGCCGCGCTGCCGGCCTACTGCAATCCGCCCAACCCTTGTCCGGTGGGATACACGGGTAAGTGAACTTCTTGTCTTCTTCGTAAATCGTAATACACATATTGGCTCTTATATACTAAACTAGATTACAAAACTCAGTTTAAGGTTAGGTAAAACTCGGGGACAATAGTAACAAAAATGTCAATAACAAATAACCAAATAGTTAAAACTGAAATTGTAGCTACGTACTATATACAATATACATACTAATTTTAAATAAATAAGAATAAAAACTATCACTATGGCCTACAATTTTTCTTAATAAATTAAAAAAATAAATATTCGAATAATTAGAGTAGGTTCTATGATATATATATGTATAATGTAATGTCAAGACAGGTTAGCATAAGGCATTGCGTTAATTTTAAATTAATAGGTAATACTTATTTATTTATTTATTTAAAACTTAGACGAGTTGAACCCTTGAATTCAAGAGTACAATTTAAGTCATAATAAATTCCGGTAGTTGCAATTAAATTAGTAGCCAAAAATAAAAAAAAAGTTATTTAACAAAACCCTAAAACAGATATAATCTTATAATATTTATTATTATGTAAAGACGATTGTGCTGTATTCAGTTGTATAGGTATCTATTGTGTCATTACTTTTACAGCTGTTTATATTTATTTTTTACTAACAGACATCTTGCACTTTGTTGCCCGCTAAAAATTCCAACTCTATATGATTCAATCTTTGTTCAATCTGTTATTTTATATTCGGTGCGATGATATTCAAAACTTAAAATTTGTATTGGCCATCTTGAATATCAAAACACTTATGCAAGCACCACTTTAAAATGTGAATTTTGGAATATTAAAATATTATAATTTTGCATACTTTAAATGTTTTCTGGAAACATCCTGGAATACATTGGGATACATATGAAAGTGTAAAAAAAAAGTTGTTTCAATTCCATTGCTATTAGAAAATACATTTTTTAAATTGAACCTAAGGTTACAATGCCTCATGAATCAGTTAAAATGAAGACCAGCAAGGGTACAATACAGAATAGTCACAGTAGCACAATGTTCCATACATAATAAGCATTACATAATATTACACAAAACCTTTTAAATATGGCCACCACTATCTAGGCAGGACATATTATAAAAGAGCTATCAAAAGATCTTGATACAAAAATTAATGTATCAGTGTATCAGTATAAACTTAAATTAATGTATTAACAAATATTAAATGTCAAAAAAGTTAAAAATAGAACTTAAGAAAATAAAAGTATCAAAGAAACGGTACTCTTACACTTTCAGATGAAGATGGTTGTATAATGGATTTTGAAAATACGGCGGCATTCAGTCGAGACTATCAGGAATCCCAAGAATGCATGTGTGATTCTGAACATATGTTTGACTGCGCAAGATCGAATAGTGGCACCAAACACAGTGTTGACGTGGACGAACTTGTAAGAACATTTCAGGTATTTTGAATATTTATTCAATATTTTATTGTGCTCAAGATGTGACTATGTATTTTATCTTTACAGGTAGATGATGAACATAAGAGTTTGGTTGCGAAAAAATTCCACGTTAAGAAGGTTAGTATTTTTTCCTTTAGTTTTCTAGTTAATTTTCTAGGTACATCAATAATGCTAATTGTGCATAAGCACAACAGTAAGAAAATTTAATAATTAATAATTAACACAATATAATATAATTGTTGTTTTTACAGGCTTTTAATCCATACTTACAAGGAGAATTTCTGCCCATAGCAGCAAAAAAGGGAATTAACATCGGATTGTAACATATCTTAATCCAAAACGACCAATTATTTATTCATTCTATATTAGACGACTCCAACAAAAATGTTACAAAGCAAAAAGAAAAAAACATATATATTTATTTCAACCAGTTTGTTTATAAGTAAAAAAAATGTTACCTGATAGATAATATTTAATTATAATGTCATCCTTAATTACATGTTAAAGATATGACCAAGAGATACAATTATACAATTAATTAATAAATTATAGACTAAACTAATCATTTTTAAAGACTAGAAAAGTATTTTTTTAATTCGTTTAAAATATCTCTAGAATTGTAATGATTAGGATATATTGAGAGCGACTTCTTTACCATACCGTAACTTGTTTGGTGATCACCTTCCTGGAAAAAGAAAATATTATCAATTAACTATTTAGTAATATAATGTATTGTTATAAATTATTTAATATTTACAAAATACCTTATTTAATTAAAATATTTCTTTAATATAATACAAGAGATATATTATATTCATACTATTTGATGTTGTGTTGTGTATATAAGAGCTTTTATCAAAGAAAATTTCAACAATCCAATCCATTTTAGATATAATGTTTCATTTATATTCTAAGATTAATTATTCATCTTTTTAAATATCAGTTAAAAATAATTAAGTTAAAGTAATATTATACAAATAAGTTGTGAGTATTGTATTATAAAATTCAAAATTGTTTTTAATTGTTCTACTAGACTTTAATTTAAAAAAAAAAAAATGTAAACTGTTAACAATTTTATTCAATGACTTATCTGAAATTTTTAAATTTAACTTAACACAATTTATTTAAGTCGTTTAAAAACAAAGTCTTTACCTCTTGAGCTAGTAAAGCTCTGTTATAATGTGGTTCGTAAAGGTGATCTTCAGCTGCTATTGCAGAGTTCAATAAGGATTCTGCCCGGGACACATTGTTTTTACGCCATAGCAATACAGCCAAGTTATTTAAAGCTGCACCATGAGAACTATTCAAAGATAATGTTAAATGCAAACTGTGCTCGGCTATATCCAAATCACCAAAACCCTGCGGAATGTACAACATTAAAAACCATTCTTATTAGACAAATATCTTAATAGATACTCACAATTGCCACATGACTGATATTGTACCAGACGTCTGCTGCATTATCATCTAATGCCAATCTTAATGCGTTTTCAAAACATGCCGTAACTACATCAAATTGTTGGGCATAGAATGAGCACAGTCCTAGATTATTAAAAAGCTCAGCATTGTATAAACCCATTTGTAGCAGTCTCCTGTAAAAATAATATTAATTATATTGTGATTCAAACACAAAAAGAAATATTGAACAAAATTCATAAAATTATATACCAACCTATAATATCTTAAAGCTACTTCGGGCTGATCAGAATAAAAATGATGTAATCCAATACACGCAATTGATTCCATATCTGTTGCATCCAATTCAAGTATATCTCTATAGTATTTAACTGACATTGGTATATTGTTTAGACCCTCAAATATTCTGAAAAAAAAAAAATATATATATGAAACACAACTTTTTTAAATTACCATAAACATGCAAATTTATAACTACCTATTTCGGTAGAATTTGTGTAAGACAGTATATAACACTTCATATTGATTATAAAGCTAAATAAATATGAAGATGTACAATTTCATTTCTACAATGACCATGTGCAAATTTGAATTTTTAGTCATTTCAGTTGAATTTGTATTTAATAACTGTGTATAAACAACGTGTAAAAAAATTATAATCTATAATACATTATAAAAGTGCTATAATTATTTACGTGGAAATTGATGAAATCACATGTGCAGGAGAAATAATAAATAAATTTAATTACAACTGTATTTAGTTATACCTAGCCATTTCGATGAGTAATGTAATTTCATGCGGAAACCAAGACATGGCTTTCTGACATATGTCTAACGAACTTAAAGGCTGGTCGAGGCGAATGAATAATCGTGAAAGACGCAAGAACACTTCAATATTAGGTCCATGTTGTAAAGCAGATCTAAACTGAGCTTCCCCGTCTCGAAGTAATCCTAACATTACATAACATTTTCCCAGCTGCACTTTCCACCAAGGGTCCTCAAAGTTGCAACATTTAGTTGCTTCCACCGCAAAGTCTAATGCCTAAATGAAGTATTCATTATACGTTCAAATACCCACATTTAACATTAATGACTAAAATAACCATTAATATATACTTACATTTCTAATATCGTTTTGTTGATAATATATGTAGTTGAACAACAACTTTGAAAGTTGTTTATCAGATGCATATTTAGGAAAATTTAAACGGGATATATTAATAAAAGGACCATCAATTTGGGAGACCATAGACGCAGTACCGAGGCGTATATTTCTAGCTGATTGAGACGTTAACGGTCTTGAGGAACCGACAGTACGTGGTGTTTTCAAAGCCATTTGTAAATTATTGCCTCCAGCAGATGAAGTTGATGGACGAACTATACCACTTAAGGGCCTTCCGCCAACTGTCCGAGGCCTACAAATAAATAATGGATTATTCAGTTCTAATTAATTTTATATTTTTATATTTTTATCATCAGATAATATGAATTAACTTGACAATTTAACATAAAACTGATGCACTTTATCTTACCTTTGGTTATTAGTGTCTTGTGCTGTTCTTAATGATGTACCTACTCTAGCATTTTCAGCTATTGCATCAGAGTTAAAGTAAGAATCAGCGATGCCTTCTTCTTCTGCTTCAATATCATCAATAGACAGTTGTTCAGTTAATGCACGCATTTTTAGAGCCCATGCCGCCTTGAAACATACCAGAATAATACATACATTAAAATATAATTATTATACATACAATTTAAGATAGGTATACGCAGTAGATTCTTTTTATGTCGAAAGTCAATATGTTAAATGGTTTGTAATCTCAAACTCAATAGAAATCTCCTTAAAATTACCATTACAATGGTAATTACATTTACAAACTCAATATCTTAAATTTTTTTTTGTCCCCTTGAGTTTCTACATAATGAGTTTACTGTTTTTATAATTTTTGAATGGAGGATATAGCCATATAGGTCATTTTCTCAAACATTCTTTGTAATAAAAAAATTAAATTATAAATTATTTTAAGTTAATTATTTAGAGTTCCATACAGTTACTTTTACCTACGTACATATTTCCTTACAATTAAAATGTACACTTATGTATTTTGAAAATTGATAAAAACTATAGTTTTATATAGTTGGACCTACATTTTAAGTATAAAATAGGCAAAAATACATATGACGACAGTACAAGGTCCAAACGTAATAGTATATAATTTTATTGAATGTATTCAAACAATTAGTGCTACTTCTACAATTGAGACTATAAATTACAAAATATTTAAAAACTTTTAAAATTAAATCATTTTATATTCATCATATATATATCATTATATACCATAAACCCGTGTGCTAGAAAAAAGATGGACATCTGTTACTTGCAAGAGTGCCTATAACAAATATGTAGTTCTACTTAATGGGATCACTGGTTTATTTCTTATTATTTTTGTGATATTCTCATTTATCCTAAATCTTGCATTGTTTTCTTTGTAGTCTACGATTGCATGAAGGAAATCAATGTTAATTATTCCTTTTTCATTTAATTGTTTGATGATTATGAATATTTGCTGCTATAGATTACTTGTACTTTATTAGTAATAGAATTGACTTTGGTTTTTTTCCTACGCACTAAATGTATGCTTATTCCTACTAGGAGGAGGATAAATAAAGTAAATAAATAAAGTTTTATGGAATCAATCAGGCAAAATCAGCATTGTAAATTTATAAAAGAAATTACCACCAACCTGGTCATAAGGGTTTTTCGATAATATAATTGTGCAGCTCTCAATGCATTTGTCGTAGTTATGTTTCCGCAAATCCATGCACGCAGAGTAGAAAGTATCGAGTGAGGCAATCACTTTTGTGTCGTCCATTTTCGGGAATAATTTATTATCAATTGTTTTGAGCACGCAGCCAGATGCTGTCTTTTGAAATATTTTAAATTATTGTCCGGTTCATTGATAATGTAGCGCACACAGAGCAAAGGCTGCAAACATATTAATTAATAAGATTATAGGTAATTTAAACATTTTTTTTTTAAATCACTTTTTTTATTAAAATTAAAGTAAAGTTATTTTTACATGGTTTTACTAAAGTTAGTGGTAATAAGCCCACCTTTTTACTAAGCTTGCCCGTCCACTAGCCTTCATCAGTCCAATATCTTTGCTGAGATGTAGCGAATGTGGATATTGTCAAATGGCATTAGCAAACTAACACAATTTCATAAAATCAAAAGGAATAACAAATACAATAATTTAGAAATTACCCAACTTACACTCGTAATTAATTGTAGCAACACTTAAAACCATTTACAGTAGATATTTAGATGTCCATATAACTAAATGATTAGGTAGGTACATTATACATTATACAAGCATACTAGGTACATACCAAACATTATAAAACAAGAGGAAACAATATTAATTCCTTAAAAGTCGTGATAGTTGAGGTAGTTTCATTGGTTTTAGAATATAAAATACAATTTAGTATGAATGTACGATAATAAATATTAAATAGTAATGTACTTAATAGAATTATGTCTTCACTATTCACTCATATTTTAGGACCCAAGCTACTGAAAAAAATTTGAAGTTACCACTTTCAAACACAGATTTCTACATAGTACCTATGTGTAGTATAGAAGACTGTGGTCTGTGCTTTCAAAAATTCTTAAATATTAATTATACATTAAATCGTTATTTATACCTATCACAATTCACAGAGGCAGAGAAGAGGCACAGAATAATATTATAATTGGTACGATAAATTCAAGGTTTTTACTTTTTTAGATTATTTAATTATTAATTATTATAATATAGTAGAATCTAATTTCAATAAATTATTCTGTGATTATCGTTTATCGAGCTGATTATACAGTATCACACTGAATGATAACGAAGATAACAGTATTATAAAATTCAAAATGGCGATCGATCATTCACGTTAAAATCAAAATATTATACTTAAATAAAATTCATTATTTTAATCTCGTTATTGTTTGTTTAATAATATTGTCATTTAATTCAATACCGATTTTTAAATTTAGTTTAATTTTGTTTTCCCTTGAATTATGATTTGCTGCGTGTTCTCGTCGTAGATAATAAGGATATTTATTTTTCATTTTATTATCTATACCTAGTTCTCGACTTCTCGTCTCTCGTGAGTGGTGGTGACTGGTGAGTAGTGACTAGTGAGTACAACTGGTGACGTTAGCGGATACTGGATATAGTGTTGTTTCGCCACGAGCCACGAAACTTTTCGCAGAATCACAGCCGCTCGCTCGACTCTTCGACGTCAAAACAATACTTTAATATTATATTGCCTACAATACCAGCTAGCGATTAGCGAAACTATACACAACAACTGACCACGACTGATGAGTGACAACGCGCGCACGCAAGATTGTACGGCCACAACAACATTGATAAGCCGATAATAATAATAATAATAACACCGAGAACCACCAACATTATAATAATATTATAGGTAGTCTATGTTGCAGTCAGATTGTCAGAATAATAATATTACATACGACAGGAATAATAATAACGAAAAAAAAAAAAAAATCATACCCGTTCGACGACGACGACGACACGAATGACGAATCGCGCGATCGGTGGCGCACGAGAATGATGTCAGTGGCCGTCCGACGGAATCATCGCAGTGACGCTGTAGAAATCAGGTAGCAGCCGTAACGAATGCCTCCGGCGTCGGCGTCCATGGAACATCTAGGCCCAGGTTTTGGAAGTCCCAACTTGCGAAATCCCTACTCGCCGTCCCGGACCACAAAGTTCCACGGCCCGAACGCCGCGTACTCGAACACCACCGCCTCGTCGTCGTACTACAAGAACAAGTACACCACCCAGCACCAGGCTGCGGCCGCCAACCTGCCACTGTGGACGGCCATATACAACTATGAGGCGCAGGGCGAGGACGAGCTGAGCCTCAAGCGCGGCGACATTGTCGAGGTGCTGTCCACGGACGCCAAGATATCCGGCGATGAGGGCTGGTGGACGGGCAAGCTCGGCGACAAGGTGGGCATATTCCCGGCCAACTTTGTCACCGAGAACAACATTTTGGAGAACGTCACTACGGTGGTGGGCAACGCGCACATCACCGAAATCGATTTCGGAGAGCTCGAGCTAGAAGAAGTCATCGGCGTCGGCGGTTTCGGCAAGGTCTACCGCGGCTATTGGAACAACAAGGAGGTGGCCGTCAAAGCTGCACGCCAGGACCCCGACGAAGACATCAGCGAGACGGTGAAGAATGTCAAACAAGAGGCCAACCTGTTTTGGCTGCTAGACAACGAGAACATTGTGTCCATGTTGGGCGTTTGTTTGCAAATTCCAAATCTGTGCCTCATTATGGAGTACGCCCGAGGGGGTTCACTTAATCGTGTACTGATGGGACGGAAAATACGACCAGACGTACTTGTTGATTGGGCCATTCAAATAGCCAGGGGCATGAACTATCTGCACAATGGTGCTCCAATATCGTTAATTCACAGAGACTTAAAATCATCAAATGGTGAGTTAGCAATATTATTTAATAATGGGTTAACAGGACATTTCACTCATATTTTTAATTTGTCGAACATGTTATAAGTGTATAAAGTAGATAGCAAAGTTGGCATAGGTACCTAAAACATTTGTTACCCATCTAGAATATTTTTCTAAAATTTTAGTTGATTTCAGGGTTAATTTTTAAGTCAAATACTTAAACTAGTATATAGGTACTTTGTTACATTAAATATTAATAAGTAGGTAGGTACCTAATATAAAATTATATATTTATATGTTTTGTGGAATAGCTCGAAAATTATATCCAATAGGTATTTAAAAACAATTAATTTACCAAGCTATTTTTTTTTAAGCGGGTACTTTTATGGACTTTAATTTTAAAAATGTCATTAAATATTTAGGTATGTAGGTAAATTAATTACTTTAAAGTTTTACTATTGCTAATCATGTGTGTCAGATGTTTATGAAGCAATGCCATAAAAACTTAGTGTGCAGAATGTGAATTATACAGTGGCCTTTGACTATACTGACAACACATCAGTTTATGGTTAGAATATTATATTGTTTTTCTTTTAAAGATGCTTTAAGTTTCTGTATTGTAAATTTAACTTAAATTAAAACTTAGATTCTTGATATTTGAATCAATATCATGGTTATAGAATTTGAAATGTTGAGCAATGTAGAAATTGAAAAATTATGATGTAGGTAATTTTATATGGGTAATTATTATTTATGCCCATTAATAAATATATATTACTTGAAATATTGTGTACAGTGAATACTATACTCTGTTCCATCTAAGAGTGAACCACTCTGCTGAGCAAAACACTTTTTTTCCGCGCATTCCCACCACAATCCGGACATCGGTGAGAGCGTTAGCACAGGCACCAGATGACTGGCGATGACTGTCTGTCAATCAGAACGCATAGCCATCACATGGAGGGGGGGGGGTCAGGCACTGTTCAGCACCTCAGTCTGAGTGCGCAAAAGCAGTTACTCTGAGATGGAACCAGTGGCGTATATACAAATTATTTTCACTATGGGTCAATTTCTCAGCCATCACTAGTCAAGCATAGCTCGACTAACATAGCCATAACTATACATTTTTTAGAGTGCTGGGTGGTTATAATTATGACATATACAGTACAAATAAAAATTAGGCAATTTAATTTTATAATTATTATGTAAAATTAATTTTTTGATTATTTTTAAAAAATATTGACATCGTCATTTATATATTTTAATGTTATCCTACTATGAATTTAACATTAAAGTCAATAAGTCATCAAAGCAAGTCCTGACAATCTAACATTTCCTTGTTGATTCCTCAAAAACGACTTTAATCAACCGGCTAACTTAATCATGGTGAAAAACTGTGAACAGTGTAGATATACCCACATGCAATGCTTTAATTGAACCGGCAATTTCACTATGGGCTCTCCCCCCCTATATACGCCACTGGATGGAACAGAGTATATTTATGTTTCTTCAGAAGCTATAAGGATTTTTTTTGGGAAACACATTCGTTTTACTTTTTACCTAGTTCAGTATTTTAAAATTATACCAATGTATTCTAAACAAATTGTAATAAATCATAATAATCATAGTATTAAGATATTTTTCATAAGACAGTTGCTTTTTAGCTACCTAATCAGATAAATATTTTATGGTTTTTAATTCTTCTACTATTTATAAATATTTGATCTTTGTGATGTAATGTTTTTTAAAATCGCGTTTAGAACTTTAAAGACAGTACCTTTAAAAAAAGTCTGAAAAGAAATAAAGACATTTTAATAAAAACACCTTATATTTTAGAAAAACTGTCATATTATCATATTATTATCTTATTTACTTCTATTAGGAGGTACTTGCCTAACCAATATGATAAGTCTAAATAATTTGAAACAAATTTTGTATTTTTTGATGTCCTAAAAACTTTTATTTCATTATTACTACAAAGTCTACGTCTGTTGGTAAAACAACTAAACTATAGATATAGTCTTCAATACATAAAAATAGTATATTACTTTTAAAAATAAGTAGCTTAACAATAACAATTTATTTAATTGACTTATGATTGTTATTGTTGCTAAACATCAGGGCTACTTGTGTAAACATTGGTCACATTTTTTTTTGGAAAATTTGGCTATTTAGGCACTTTCGTTTTTTTACATTTTGGTTTTAAATGTTAGTATGTTTTCAGTTAAGAATGCTAAATCTTGATTATTTGATTATTGTAATATTGTTTATCTTATATTTTGTAAAATTATATGACATTTTTCAAAGTTAATGATATTATATCTTTAATATATTTTCATGTAAGAATAAACAGTCAATTAAAGTTGAAATTTTCAATTTCGTGTCATATTTTACGTGATCACATAGTTATATTATCACTCATATTTTTAAACATGTATATTGAACTATCTGAAAGCCAAATCCATAAATCACAATAGTTATTATTTAGTATCTCATAGGACGATTTTCTAATTTTGTTAATAAACTAATAACCATAGGACGACATAGGTACTCTACATTTTCACAAAATGTTTATTTTATCATAAAAATAAAATGTTCAAAATATTTTGACTTGTTTTGAGCTATTTTCAATTATATTATTTTCTATAAATGTCAATACAATTTTTAGTTATTTTGTTGTAATTTAAAAATATTTGTGGGTACTCGTGGGTACTTGAAACTTTTAAAGTATATTATTATATTTTATACACACAATGAAATTTTCAAATGCAATTTTTTTGGCAAAAATGTTTTTAACCTACTGTAGCCCAATGCCTCTAAATAGTAAAATATATTACTCTAATCATAATATCATAAAATGTACTTAATAATATTATATATTTGAATTCAAATTTGACACATCCATTACTAAGCCATCTGTTGTACAGCAGTGCGTTAATCACTTGCCCGCTCTTTTAGCAATGATATCAAGTGTTATTGTCTCAAAAAAAAAAAAAAAAAAATGTGCTTTTTATTAAAAACTGAACATTTCCATATAAAATATAGGACATATGGCACACCTAACTTAAAAATATATTTATAAGTCTTCTTATAACATGTGAAAATAACGGCATGTAAGATGCAACTATACTGATCTGTTGGACTTCAAAATACTGAACTCAGAAAAATTCAGGGTAAAATATTTCAATATTTTTATCCAATTTATATTCAATAATATTATTCACACACATAGGTAAATCATTGAAGTATAACATATTCTCTACCCATGTAAAAAAAAAAATAAGCAATTAATTAATAATTACAAAAATATTGATTATAAATACAAATTATAACAGTGTGCCCTTGCAATTTTTTGACCCACAGTGACACATAAGTCTTTTGTGTTTCATGCTGCCTATCATATAATTATAATTCCATGCTAGTTCGGTTCCTGCTGGAATATTTGATAGTGCAAAGTATGCCACCCATGGAAGTCTAAGGTCATGTGTATCGATAAACACATTTTGAATAAATATGTTTGGGTCTCAAGAATGATTAAAACAGCGACCTATGTTCCCACTGACCTTAGCATCCATCGTGTAGATGCCACAGTCGTTACCTATCTAGGTACCTTAGCAAAAATGTGTTTTTATTTTCAACTTCTTGTTGAGTATTAACAGTTCATGTTTTCCATCATTTTTTGTATTTGTATCTTGTAAATTCTTCCTTAATGACATTCTAGATTCAAACATACTCATTTTACTCTTGATTGCCCAACTAGGATTAACATTTTAATCGAGCTTAAAACATTCATATATTTTGTTTGACTGAAGTCATAGTGAACCCATAATATACAAAAAAGAGAACACTCATGGTCCCTGTAAGGATATGGTTTTGGATAGGTTGCTGGTATTCTAATTGATTTGATTATACCATTATTATCTTGAGGATTTTGAGTATTGTCACTGTTGTCAATGTTAACACTTTTTTCATTTTCAGTTAGGATTTCTCACTCAATATTTGGTCGATTTAATAACTTATTAACATCAGTCAACACCGTACACGCTTATCTTGATTGTTACTACTTAATTCATTGTATATTGGGCCTAACCTGTTTGAGCCCCGATACATCCATTCAGTGTGTTCGCCCACGATATCAATAAATTTTAACTGTACTGAAGATGCATCTAAGTTTTTCACTCTGGCTAAACACCATAAGTTGTGTAACTCTGTGCGTACTACTTGTATTTTATTAAACTTCACCATACGCCGTTCTGGATATTTTTGTAAATACTCCTTTACAAATTCTTGAATATTTTCAGGTACATCGTCGTTTACACTTGGTGACTCACCACACACAAGGCGAATATTCTTATGGTGTACATACTGTGTATATCAATCATCAAAGAATATCATGTACCTAAGGCAGATCAAAAAAGTGTTTTATTATAAGCTGTGATAAATATATAGGTTAATTATTTGAGAAAATGGTTAAGCTGCTCTTTGTCTGCTTTTAAACAGTATGACATTTTTTAAAAATGTGAGCAGTACAATTTTTTTCTTTAAATTGACACCAATATTTTTCAAAATATCTTTCACTGTCTAATAGGTAGGATAAATGATTTTTATTCGATATTAAATAAGATTGTTGTTACTATATTATTTTATTTAAACTGGATTACGTAGATATCTCCTAATAATAATAATAATGAAATAAATTTGTTAGGGCAAAATGATAAACTAAATAAAAATAAATTACCTAATACCTAATATTATAAATTTCTTTTAAAACCATTGGTGATTTGTTTAATGTTTTTAACATTTTTCAGTAAATTATTGAGTTTTTCATTAAAGTGGATATACCTCTATTTTATTAAATTTAAATTTTAGGTTCTATGAAATGACAGACATTATTATGGATACATATCTAGCATTGAACCGTGTAAATCTATTTTTTATATTAAAAACTTGGCAACAGAGACTAACATTTTATGACTTCCTATAAATATATGGACAGATATTTTATTTAAAATTGTTTACTGATATAATTCTTATATGTACCTATATAATTTAATATGCAAAATATATAATGGTTTACATAACTTGGATAACAAATGGATAAATTAACTTAGTTATTAAAACATTCGGAAAGATAAAAGTTCTTATCTAGGTAGGTAAAAAACTATTTTTTTTGTTTAGAGTTTGTCTATTATCAAGTTTAACAAATGGTCAGTAATTTTAATATAATATGTTAGTTTATCTTCCGGTGCTGACTAATCACAATAGTGATTAATTATTAATTATTAATTTTTTATTTTAAAATTGTATTTGTTTCAAGTAGTTCAGTTGATCAAATATATACATTTATACTCCATTATATCTATGATAATAAAAACTATTTTATATTTTATTTAAAAAAAAAAAAATTTATATTAGATACTTAATAATAATATTAGTTATATTATTAAATTCAATATTATTAGTCAATAATACACTTAAAAAAAAAAATTGGGATGGAAATGTCCATTAACCATAAAGATTACCTACTCTGTCCAGTGAGAGAACGCTCTGTGTACTGACCAAAACTGGTTCCCCTGCGTAACACCCTGCCATTGAGGAACCGGTTTTGGTAGCATGGCGACGCTGAGGGATGCGCTGAATCGGTGCGTTCTTTCGCTGGACAGGGTATACCTACCTAAATTATTTATTAAAATGTATTAAACATACCTGAAATTGTTGAGATATTTTGGTGGTTCTGCAATTACTCCTACATTGAATTTATCCGTCATTCCATGTTCATATCTTGGAATTTTGCTATCACTCTACTGCCTACTGGATACTGTGCTTGGCTTGTAGCATCTATGTATGCCAAATTTGTATAATTCAAAACTTTTTCTTCTCCATCGTCAAATATAATATAATATGTTGTGTCACTAACTGCTGATTTAATAGTTGTCTGAATCCACGGCTGCATTTGTGAATGTTTCATCTCATACACTCTCACCCACTTTTAATAAGTGTCTTATTAGTTTGCCTTCTTCGGGTAAATCATCCGAAAATACAGGTAACGATCTAGTTGATACAATGTCTATATCACTATCATCGAAGTCAACAATACTTATCTCTTTGTCAAACTTAAACTTCCTTTGACTATCAAACTTGTATACGTCGATGTATAGTAGTGGGATTGTCTGATCTACTTGCTGCACTAAATTGTCAATTTGTTCGGTATTGTTCAATACACAATTCAATTTGGCTATTTGCGGGTCGTTGAGGTTTTCTGTTGATGGCTTGGTATCATTGTTGGCGACATTATCGTCATCAGAGTCTGATGGTAGACGGAAAAAAAAACCAAGGAAAAAAAAACCAAAAAAAAAAAACCAAAAAATAAAAAACCAAAGGAAAAAAAGACCACGGAAATAAAAACCAAAAGAAAAAAAAACCATGAAAATAAAAACCAAATTTTTATATTTTGCTATATTAATTCATATTTCATTAAACTTAGGTTTTAATTGTCTACTTAAAAATTTTGATCAATAATCCAACTGCCCAAGTGTTCTACCTGTTAAATATATATTAATAATAATAATTATAATAATAATAATTTCAAATAGGTTAAACTGTTTAAAAAATTTGTCCAATACAATAATAAAAGTAATAATTTAAAATAAGATTCACGTTTTAAAAATTGTCAATACAAACATAAATCAGTCAAATACATAGTCAATACAAACAGTCTACAGTCAAATAAAGTAAAAATAATTAAAAAAATTAACATTTTATAGATTTTAAATACTTTTTAAAAATTTGTCACAATACAATAATATAAGTAATAATTTAAAATAAGTTTCACGTTTTAAAAATTGTCAATACAAACATAAGTCAGTCAAATACATTATAATACATAGTCAATACTAACAGTCTACAGTCAAATAAAGTAAAAATAATAAAATAATAAAAAAAAATTAACATTTTATAATTTTTAAATACTTTTTAAAAATTTGTCACAATACAATAATATAAGTAATAATTTAAAATAAGTTTCACGTTTTAAAAATTGTCAATACTAACATAAATCAGTCAAATACATTATATAATACATGGTCAATACAAACAGTCTACAGTCAAATAAAGTAAAAATAATAAAATAATAAAAAAAATCGTAAGTTATCGATATCTTATTGTATAGGAGATAGCAGCTAAAAAGTTTTCAATATCACGGATACCATTATCATAATCCTCACATAATTTTTTTAATTGGATTTGTATTTTTTTGTACACCGTTTTTTGTCGTTTTTGTTGTGGTACTCCTAATTGAATTTGGGCTAGCTTTGTCTCATCAGCTGCCACTTCCAACCTTATTTTAGCTATAATAGTCCAAATTGTTGGATGTGTTTGTCCTACCAATTTACTAAATCTATTGTTCCATCCTTCCGTCGAATTGTTTGTGCGTTCTTCATCATTTAAAGTTGAGTCGTGTACGTTCCATAAATTTGGAGGAAAAATAGGTGGGCAATTTCTTAAGACTATTCTGTTATTTTCATTTCTAACTTGCCTGTATTTGCCATTAACGTATGTTGTATCAAAATAATTTAATAACGTTTCAGCCTCTTCAGGAACAATATTTTTTAAATATGCCATACCATCTTTGACATCTCCAACTGGTAAAAATGCCAAGCCATCCATTTTTCCACAAAATTCAATTAATTTTTGATCTTCTCTGTATTGTGTCTGGAGCCCTAACTCTTGTATTTTCCTATAGGTTGATTGAGTTAAATGGTAGAAACAACCCTGAATGTGTACATGTTGTCCGAGAACATGTGTGATGGCTGTGATAACTGCACGTTAAAAATCAACATGTACTACCATAGGATCAGGAAATAAATGTTGTTCTTCACATTTTTTTAAAATAGTAGTGAGCATTTGCTCATAAGCAGTCAATATATAAGATGTATGAGACATGAGTGTATGAAAGTATAAGTCTATAACATAGTTAAGCTCGTTTTTATATATAAAAATATAATAAATAATTAAATATATAAAAAGACTGTAATTTCGGGGGGCAGGCTGCAGCCCACTAGGCCTACCCCCAATATACGCCACTGACGATAGTGTTCAACAGATAGAACACCTGGGTAGTTGGATTATTGATCAAAATTTTTAATTAGAAAATTAAAACTTATGTTTAATGAAATATGAATTAATATAGCAAAATATAAAAATTTGGTTTTTATTTTCATGGTTTTTTTTTCTTTTGGTTTTTATTTCCGTGGTCTTTTTTTCCTTTGGTTTTTTATTTTTTGGTTTTTTTTTTTGGTTTTTTTTTCCTTGGTTTTTTTTCCTTGGTTTTTTTTTCCGTGATTCGAGTCTGATACCTCAATTAAACAGGTTGATTGAACAGATTTTTTGGCGGCGTACAGCATACTATTAGGTTTTGATTGGCAATTATCATTGATGCACTCATGGTGGTCGGACATGTTGCTATTACAACACTAAATAAATATTAAAACGAATAACGTCGAGAAAACATTAAAAAGAAAAAACTCAAAAGAATAATAATTAATGTGTCGTCGGGAGTTCGGCACGCCGTCAACGCTGTCGTCGTCGTCGACCGTTTTCAAATATGAAATAACAAACCGAGCGGCGGCGCCGGCGTCGAATATTGTCAAATCATCGTAAAAACTGATATTACGAAGCAACAAGTCAACAACACTTTACTCGCATTTTGGTAAAATTGAGTTAACAACACTGTTATATTTTTAATTTCGCGCGAGATCAACAGGCGGTCTCAGATTTACGATAAATGTCTACAATATTATAATAAAGACGGGCTAATCGAAAAAATTATAGCACAGCATAGGATCATCTAAAATCTTAATACAACACCACCTATACCAGGGGTGTACAAACTTGTTTTGATTAAGATCTACTGAGGATATATTTTTTCTTTTAGGATCGATTAATGTAAAAAAAAATATTTAATATTAATAATAAACATACTTATATAAATAATAAAATTAAGTTATCTAAAATGAGTGTTTCATTTTAAATTTTTAGGTAATTTTAAAATGTATTAACATTTTATTATTGATGTAGAAGCGTGTCATTGCACATAATGACCAAGCGAAGACGCTGTGCTAAGTCTAAAACTAACCTACTCAGCTTCTATAAATTATGACTTTCATGTGAGAAAATGCCATTTCACACTAACAGGTTAATCCGAAACATATGTATTTAATAAGTGTATCTACTAAATTGCAAATATATAAGAATAATTAATAAATTCTAACAATGGGGATCGACTTAGAAATCGTCCAAGATCGACCAGTCGATCACGATCGACTGTTTGGCCACCCCTGACCTATACTGTATTCTAAATACGTATGGAAAAAATTCCAGACGGAAACGCGTCGTGGTTTGCGCATGTGCAGTCTCATTGGCTGCAGTCGGCGCGGCCGACTACTGCAGCCAATCACAGCGGTTCTACTGTTCAGACTGTTCAGAGGCTGCGAAGTTTTTCCAGACTTATTTTGGAATAGAGTACGTCTCCGTTCAAATTTTTCTGTTTCAGATATCCGCGAGATGAAATCGGGCGAGCTTTTATAGAAATACGTGTTTCATCGTAATATTTTTATTCGTAAAACAATTTATTGATTTTATATTTTAAGCGAATTGATTCATACATAGAATCCTTATTCTAAATAATTTGTTGAGATAGGCTCTGTTGTTTGCGATTCTATGCCGGGAAAGCTTGTGCAGTAGTTTAAACTTGGTATTAATGTATTATAATATGAGATAACTGTACTTTTATTTTTTTATTTTTGTAACACTTGATTCATGATGACACACTATGATCACTAAATTGACACTATCTAAAATATTTTGGTCAATTTATTTATTTTGTTTTTTGTTGTTTTGCTGTTAAAATTTCTACAAAACTACTTAATTAAAGTAAAAATGTAAAAATAATTATAAAAGGTACTATCGCCTACTAAGGAACTTAGAGTTTTTCTCTGATGCAATGTGGATAAAACTGAAGTGTTGATTCTTAAGCAACGATATATAAACTAGCTTGTATATTATGTTTATACGTTTAAAGTAAAAGTATTTCCCCATGTATTTTCATTGTCCAGTGGCGGATGCGGATGTGATTATGTCATAATGTAATAGGTACGGAGGGGGGGGGGGTACTACGATATAAATCAGGCATGTAAAGTTTTAACTGGGCCAAATACATTGAATGAAGTACTACGCGGGTTGCCCAAAACAAATTTTATACTCATTTTTAATTTTATTCATACTATACCATACAATGCTGAATTTGAATACGGTTTATCAGAAGATAAGTCAGAAAAGAAGGGAGGTCAGTGGTCAGTCTATTGACTAAACTATCTGAAACATGAGTTTTAATTGTTACTATCCCAGGTACTTTATCCTGGAGTATCCCAGATACTCCCACATTTCCCCATACATACTAGAAATTAGATGTAGACAAAGAATATATTATAATGTTTGTAAATAATCAATGATCTTATGAAAATATTCTACCCAATGTTTTGTGAAATGTTTTTACTGTTCATGAAAAATAAATAATTTTAAATTTACTTTTTCAGTGCTTTTGAATGAAACAATTGAAAACAACGATCTACAATTCAAGACATTAAAAATCACGGACTTTGGTCTTGCCAGGGAAGTTTACAAGACAACTAGAATGTCTGCTGCTGGAACCTATGCTTGGATGGCACCGGAGGTTATAAAAAAATCAATATTCTCAAAAGCTAGCGACGTTTGGAGGTTTGGAGAAATTAATATTCAAATATATATATTAAATATGAATAAATATCAGAACTGAATAATATGTATCTAAAGGGTGTATCTTATGTCATTGTACAGGTTGTTTTTTATTGATTCGATAATAGGGAATTAAAAAAAGTAAAGACAATTTTTTTTTAACGGACAATTTTTATATTAATTTAAAAAAATGTAATCTCACGTTTGTGGCAGTGCACATTTTGTTGATAAAATTAGAAATTTTGTTATTGTATGTTTAATGACTTTAACCTAACTATGTTTGTCAATTGCATTTCCTATTGAAGTTTATATAGATATGCAGAACGATAGTTAAAAATTATATTTAACTCTAGTTCTAAATATATCCTAATTATTTCAATTAAAATATCTAATGGTTTTACTAAACTTTAGAGGTTTGTAGTTAAGTGAAACAAAATTGATAAATATTTTTAATAACCATACAATTTTTCACAAAAAATCACTTCTAATTGTTTAAAAAAATAAAATTATAGTACGGCCAGCGAAACTAGAAGCATGATGGTCACGCTCCCGGTGACCGTTTTCGTGAAAGCCAGGGGTTCTAAATATTTAGGTTGTTTGTGCAGCTGCGCGATCTTTTTATCGAAATGAATATTTTTTATTATAGTGGATATGTTAGGTTAGTTTTATATTTTTTTCTAAGGATGCAGACAAGCGTTGAAGCTGTTATAGCTGTTTTATAAACAATTTTGAGTACCCTCCGAAAATGTACAATAGCCTATGCCCTATAACGTATAATGCTATTGTGTGACCGTCCCATGCCGAATACCTTTAGATTTTAATACAAACCTCTAACCATTAAACCATATGTTGTATGATCTGTATATTAGTCACTGGACTTCTTTGCTTCGTGTAACATGTTTTTTGTGTGTGCTGGTTGTTATAATTTGAATTGAGTTTGTTACGAATTTCTTGTACAGCTGTTACATATTGTTTGTTTGTACATTTTTGTTTTTTTTTGCGGTTTTTCATTATTTTTATGCGTATATTGTTTATTTGAAATGTCGACCCGGCCAGATATTCATTCACAAACCAAAAAAACCATATACAACGTGTACAATTTTTTTAAAACGTTGGCCAGTAAAAAAGACCAGCCGGAAGTAGCAAATTTTTTCCGATTATGTCAAGAGAGGACGGCTGAGGCTTGTGGGGTAAGTCGGTCTACTGTACAGAGAATTTGTAAGGAAAGCAAAACTATATCTTTGGGTGATGAAGAAGAGTTAGGTACCGGAAGTTCTACGGATATTAAATTTCGATCACCTAGAAAACGTTATAGTCGTGACAAACCTGTCACCAATCTTGACGATTTCGACAGTGAAGTGGTTAGAAGAGTGGTTCACAGCTTTTATGATAAAGGAGAATTTCCAACAAGCGCAAAAATTTTAGCAGCATTGCGAGAAAAAACTGATTACCGGGGGTCGAAATCATCGGTAAAAATTATTTTGAAAAAACTTAATTTTAAGTACAAAAGGTGTAACGACGGTCGCAAATTTCTTATGGAACGGTCGGACATAGTAGCTGCGCGCGTAAAATTTTTACGTAAAATGAACGAGCTTCGTACAAATGGTGATATTCGGCCAATAGTCTATTTAGACGAGACCTGGGTTAACCAAAATCATACTCGGGGACATATTTGGCAAAACCAGGAGAATACAGAGGGCTTAAAAGTACCTACAGGGAAAGGCAGTCGCCTTATTGTTTGTCACGCTGGGTCTCCTTCCTTTGGTTTTGTCAAAGACGCAAAATTAATTTTTCGTTGTAACTCTGGCAATACCAAAGATTATCATTCACAGATGAATGCTACAATTTTTGAAAAGTGGTATTTGCAAATGTTGATGAATTTGGAGGAGCCCAGTATCATTGTAATGGACAACGCGTCATACCATTCTGCATTACTCGAAGACTACCCGAAGTCAAATAGTAAAAAAACGGATGTTCAGCAATGGTTGCGTGGCAAAAATATAGACTTTTCTCCCGTCGAAACTCTTGACGAATTACGGGCGAAAGTCAAACTTGCGATGCCGCGTGGAAAAATTTATAAGTTGGATGAATTGACACACCAAATGATGGGGCATGAAGTGGTGAGACTTCCACCTTACCACTGTCAGTATAATCCCATAGAATTGATTTGGGCACAATTTAAAGGGAGAGTGGCTGAAAAAAACTCAACATTTAAAATTGCTGATGTTGAGGCACTCGTTCATAAAGAAATTGATGCGGTAACTGCTGATGATTGGGCCAAATGTGGAGAACATTGCGTGAAAATTCAAGAGGAGGATTTCCACAAAGCAGGACTGAGGGACGAAATATTAGAGCCAATAATTTTAACAATTTATCCAGACGACAGCAGTTCAAGCGACGATGATGACGATGACGATGAATAGATTTTTATGTTTATTATTAAATTTCGTAAATAATTGTAAATATTTTAAATGTTACTATTATTATTTTATGTTTGAAAATTTGATAATAAATTAATAAAAAATGTGTTATACAGAAGTATAAATTGTTATGCCTTTAAAGTAAAGACCCGTTTCATAGCCACGCGTATAAATATACGATACGCGCACGTATAACAAGTGTTTGAAATTATTATACGCGGGAAACCATTCTTCGTAGCCCTAATGAAAAATGGCCACCGGGAGCG